AAAAAAAAAAAGAATTCCAGGCCCTAAGTTTAAGTCCTAGTACAGGCACCAAAAAAAAAGTCTGTCCCTGCCTTCCTCCATCAGAAAGGATCAGCAATGTCTGTGCTGTCTGATACACCACCCCTCCTTCAGAAGACATCTAATGTGTTCAGGAAAAGGAACCACAGCACAATAAAAGCCCAAAGCTCCTGGCTCAGCTATGTAACTCTGAGAGGGGTACTGACAAGAAGCAGAGCAGGCTGGGATTGAATTCAGGCTTACAGCTATATAACTTCCCATAGCTTTGGCCTCATCCATAAAATGGTTATAATAGCCAAGTAAGTGTTGCCATCAAAATGCAAGGTGCCTGTTGGCTCATGCCTGTAATCCTAGCTTCTCGGGAGGCTGATATCTGATGATTGCAGTTCAAAGCTGGCCCAGGCAGAAAAATCTTCATGGACTTGTTTCTCCAATTAACCGCTCAAAGACCACAAGGGGAGCTGTGGCTCAACTGGTAAAGCATTAGCCTTGAGCACAAAGAGGCTCAGGGATAATGCCCAGGCCCTGAGTTCAAACCTTGCAACTCATTTTTTTTTTTTAATCCAGGCAGGCCTGGGAAGCACTCTGGGCTTTGTCAGTAAGCCATTAGCTCAGCATTCTAGCAATTCCATCTGCTGAGAAGGGACAAGATGTCAAGAGCAGGTACAGGGTGAAGGATCTAAAGCTAAAGGCCCAGGGTGGGAAGCTTCTTACATTTTATCTTCTGCTCTTCCTTTTCTTCCCATTCCTGGAGCTCGGCATTCATCTCTTGTACCCTTTTCTTGTTGAAGTATTCCAAGATGTTGATGATGTTCTGTAAGTGTGGCAGGGTCAGCTCAGCATAGCTCCCAGGCTTCCTCAGGGAGTCCCCAGCCCGGACCTCCAACCCCACCCCCATTGGAGAAGAAACATCTAACTCTGAAACCCAACCAACTCCTTACCTTGGCTGACAAGGCCTTACTGGCTCTGGCCAGGGCTAAACTTATCTTTCTCTGATCCTTTCTTCACACCATATCATTCAGCCATATTCAGCAGCATATGGATCTTTTTTTTGGAGGGGGTGGGGGGAAGGAAGCCTTGCTCCCCAGGACTCCAGCACCCTTCCCAGTCTACCAGTGAATGCCTTCTGTGCAGATTTCAACCAAAATACTTTTTTTCTACCAGGAAGCCTTCCTAATGCTCCCCATGTCTGGGTCAGAAATCCCCTCCGGGCTCCCCAAATCCCCACCCTACCCCCGTGTCACTAAGGGGAGATTTGGACTGTCTTCTCCCGGTGACCCTGAGTGTCATAGAATGTAGGAGGAAGGAGAGCCAGGCCTTCAGGCTGGAGGAAGCCTGAAGCGCGTGCAGGTGTGGGAGCAGCCAGGCGAGGGCGCTCGGGGGCTGGGAAAGCAGCGCGGCCCGCTGCGGGAGGGCGGAGGCGGCGTCCTCACCCCGAGGACGTGGTGCTGCTGCAGCAACGCCCGCACACTGAGGGCCGTGGCGTCCTCCATGTCCTGGACGGTCTTCACCAGATCCTGGTTGAGCTTGGTGAGGAAGGCTTCATGGTTGCAGAGCTCCTGGAAGGCGGTCCGCTCATTGCGGACCATCGACTGCGGGTTGCAGGGCAAAGATGGGAGGAGTCAGAGGGGGGCAGGAAGGAGGGGGGTCCTGCAGAACCTGGGGGCCGCTCCTCCGCCTGCCGGCCCACCCCCTCTGCTTCTCCCATGTAAATGCAGGACTGCCCTTCCCCATTGTCTAGGTAAGTGGGAGGAAATGGGGCGCCCTGTTACTCTGCAGTGATTCACATCTCTGAGCAGGGCGCAGGCCCAGCTCTGTGGGCACATACAGCTGTGCCTTGGTTGAGCGCAGGGGCTCACGCCTGTAATCCTGGCTATTCAGGAGGCTGAGATATGAGGATCACGATTGAAAGCCTGCCCGGGGAAGGAAAGCCCATGATACTCTTACTTTCAATTAATCACAGAAAAAGCCACAAGTGGCCCTGTGGCTCAAGTGGTAAAGTGTAAGCAAAAGCAGCTCAGGGATAGTGCCCAGGCCCTGAGTTCAAGTCCAAGGACCGACCAAAAAAAAAAAACAGTGCCTTGTTTTCAGAGGCTTTTGGGAACCAGTGTAATGTAGAAATAATGATGATAATAATGACAAGGCCCCAGGTAGGTTAAGAAGGTGGCAGAGGTGTTGGGCCAAGTCTGGAGAAGATGAATTGGCCCCCATATCCTGTCTCATCAGAAAACAGCGCCGGCTTGGAAACAGGAGTTCTGAAGAGTTCAGTGACCTGCCTATGGTTACTCTCAGCAGGTACACACAACTGAGGGCCTGAGCCATGCCAGGCAGCCTGGCATCGTGCCCATAGGGTCAGCTCATCCTCCAGCTGGTAAATGGAGGTTCAGCAAAGCTCAGAGCGGTTCAGTGACTTGCTCAATGTCACACAGCCAAGAACTGGTAGTGCTGGACTGGAAAGCTGGGCTCCTAAGCCCCAGTTTGGGTCTCTCCACTACACTAAAACAAGAACAGAATGAATGGCCTTAATGGAGTGCCTGGGATGTGAGGCCTAAACACACCTTAGTTCAAATCTCAGTATTATCTAAGCCACAGATGTTAATTAACCTCTTAGAGCCCATTTATACTCAATCTAATGCTGCTGATAACTACTGCCTGCTTCAGAAAGCTGCTGTTAGAGAAAAAGTCACAAGCAAGTCATTTAGTGTTCATTCCATATGGCTTGACAGACAATACCTGATACACCTCTGGCTCTCACCCTCCGCTGCTGGCCTATCTGTGCTCTCTTTTCTTCCTTCTGTTCTCCCTCTGTCCTTTCCCAGCCCCCAGCTCCTAGGCCCCTTGCAGAACAATGCAAATTGAGTGAGTGCTGATTTGTGTCCGGCGCCATGCCTGAGGAGGTGGGCATTATTATTAGCCAAGGCCACGCATGGTGGGGCTGTTAGCATCCAGGTCTGGGCTCCCGGCCACCACACTCTATCTTACCTCCCTGTTCCTAGATAAAAATAAGCAGAAACAGCTTGTGAAGAAATAAATGACCAAGCCCCAGGCTCACAGAGTTTGCCTCACTGGGCAGTACCAGGAGTAGCAACTATTGTCACAGCCCACTCCCAGATGACTGGGGTAGACTTTTTAGTCACCACGCTCTGCCTTGCTTCCTTCCAGATGCTTCCCTCCATCCACAATCAGGCAATTACAATCCCTTTCCCAACTTACTTTCCTCCTAAGACTTCTTGCCTAACCTGAGTATTTTTCTTATGATCAGTTTGCTTGTTTCCTGTTCAAGTCCAATTCTTTTCTGCCTGACTGGGTCTTCTCTGCTTGGTAGGTTTTTCCTTTGGATTAGGGGTATGGGGGGGGGGGCACTGCTGGCTCACACTTGTAATCCTAGCTACTCAGAAGGCTGAGATGTGAGGATGGAGGTTCAAAGCCAGTCCAGGCAGAAAAGTCCCTGTGATACTCTTCTCTCCAATCAACCACTCAAAAACTGGAAGTGGCACTGTGGCTCAAGTGGTAGAGTGCTAACCTTGAGCACAAAGAGATTCAAAAACAGCACCCAGACCCTGAGTTCAAGCCCCACAACAGACAAAAAAAGTATAAGCTGCAAACTGCATGAACTCCAAGTGCCTTAGTCGAGTCTAATCCCCAATTCCCTGGCATAGACTAGGCTCTCTCTGCAGAATTACAGGTGGACTAAATCATCATCCTGAGACTATTGAAATCCTCCATCTCCAACAACCAATCAACTGGGTAGTTTCTGCTCCCTTCCCTAATTCCTTCCTGCTTCTACAAGGCAAAGGCAGCCCAAGGACTGCTGTGGAAACCTAAATCCCACCATATCCCTGCTCTACTCCAAATTCTCCAGTCAGCCTATACTGCCCAAGGCCCACTCCAGAGCCTGAGACAGAAGGATCGAAGCACTCAAGGCCAGCCTGAGGCTAAAGACAGCAGCAAACCTTGAACTTGGTCTGCACACCTGGTACTGCTACATTTTGGTTGTGTGACCTCTTACATGTCCCTGCACCGTAATTTCCCAATCTGTAAAATAGGCATGGTAAACACACCCAAGGGGTTGCTGTGAGGAGGAAATGAGTGGGGCCTGGCCCCCAGGAAGTGGTCAGTACAGAGCACAATGTCCCTGTCCCCGGAACTGGGGAAGATGCTCCTCCTACCCGCATTAACCGGAGTCTGGCCTGAATCTTCCAGGCCTGTGGCTGCTCCCTTCCCTGTGTTTCTGTTAAGTTCTTCAGCTGGCTTGTTGACAAGTTGGCCCTGGCAGGCACCACTGTGAACAGATTGGAGAGGAAAGAGAGAGGGTGAAAATGAGGGTGAGGGGGCCCAGGCCCAATTCCAGCTACTCACAGCCTTAAGATGTGATATTATCGGGCTGGGAAGGTGGCTCAGTGGTAGAGTGCTTGCCTCGCATGCATGAGGCCCTGGGTTTGATTCCTTAGCACCACATAAGCAGAAAAAAAGCTGGAAGTGGTGCTGTGGCTCAAGTGGTAGAGCAACAGCCTTGAGCTGAAGAGCTTAGGGACAGTGCCCAGGCCCAGAGTTCAAGCACCATGACTGGCAAAAATAAAAAAATTAAAAAAAAAAGATGTGATATTATCATATGATGAAACTTCCACCCATCAAGAAGCTTCCAACCCCACTCCAGGCCTTGCCACGGGCCAGGACAGGCCCAGGGGAAAGGAGTCACCATAGAGATAGGCCAAGAGCAGGATAGACTAACAAGGGCAGACCCTCCCCCTGGAAGAGTAAACTTCAAAGCCTTAATGGAAATGCTAAGATAAACTAAGCAGATACACACACCCCCAAATGCCTGGCTAGAAGAATACAGAACTCACACTGTTCATGTCCTGTAAACCACTGATACAGCAGGGGACCACAAGAGAACCAGACACTGGCAGCCCAAGTCCAAATCCCTGCTCTCTCAACCTGACAGATAGGAAGGTCGGGTAAAACAGTGGGGAGAAGAGGGCAAGAAGCCACCATGAGGCCCAGTATGATGGTACCTTCTATAATTCCAGCTAGAAGGGAGGCAGAAGTAGGAGAATGGAGGGCCCAGCCTGGCCTCCAGGTAGATAGGGGCTGGGGAGGAAGAGGAGGTTTTCAGACTCTTAGAGCATGGCTTAACTGATAGATTTTTTTTTTTTTTGGTTGGTCGTGGGGCTTGAACTCTGGGCCTGGATGCTGTCCCTCAGCTCTTCAGCTCAAGGCTAACGCTCTACCACTTGAGCCGCAGCACCACTTCCAGTTTTCTGGTGGTTTATTGGAGATAAGAGTCTCATGGACTTTCTTGAAGCTGGGGTGGCTTTGAACCATAATCCTCAGATCTCAGCCTCCTTAGTAGCTAGGATTACAGGCGTGAGCCACCGGCGACCAGCATAGTGGTAGATCTTTTGTCTGGCAAGTGCAAGGCCCTGAATTCGAACCCTCATACTACAAAAATAATTTTTTTTTAAAAAGGCGTTATACCTCAGGGTGTTTGGAATGGTACCAGCTACATCCTCAATGCTAGATACTTTAGCTGGTCCCCAACACTCACACCAGCCCCAAGTGCTTGTACTTACCTTGCTGGTCTCTAACTGAAGTCTTCAATTTGCTTTTATTGTGGCTTTCGGCTCGACGGAGTGGGGGCATCCATTTCTTCAATTTCTGATTGGACTTCTGCCAGGGAACATAATCCAACCAGGGAACACAGTCCCTCCACAAGACGGGGTCAACTCCCAGCCCTGCCCTTTTCAGAGACCTAAGCCCTGAAGCAAATGTCTTTAGCTCTCTGCGCCTCTATTTTCTCACCTGTAAGGTGGATCTTGTAACCCAATCTGTGTGAGTTAAAGCATGTGGTAAGGAAGTCCATAAATGCTGGCTGTCACTTTTTTCTTTTTCTTTTTTTAATTAGCCAACAGAATTTCTTAAGGAAAGCCGCTCGGTAAGGTGCTAAGAACAGCAGACTTGAGAAGAACCCAACCATCACCCTCAGGAAACCTGAGTAGCAAGCAAAGACCAATAGGCGACTCTGTATCATGCTCAGGAGAGCACCTTTACATTCTGACAAGGTAATGAAGGCACTGCGGTCCCACAACTTGCCCCAGGTCGCACAGCAAATGTGGGTCACGGCTGGACCTGGACTTCAAGTCTTCAGACCCTGTCTCATGCCATGGGAGTTGAGGGCAAGCAGAGGGTAGGGCCAGGTACCCCCCCCCCAACACACACCCATCCTGCTCAAGCCCTCCTGGACTCACCTGGAGCAGGGGGATGGTAGAGGGCGTTCCGGAGTGTCTAGATCTGTAAAGAGTGGACATGGGGGGGAGGGAACTTCCATCTTCCTGGGCACAAAGAGCTCCAAGAGGCAAACTTGAAGTGGAGTTGGAGTCTCCAGGGTGAGGGTAAGGGGGCGGGGTCGGGGATGTGAGTGACGGGAAGGCGGGGCTGCCGCTTGAGTAGCAAAAAAGCACGCATGCGCACTTCACCTCTCTGGCCAGGCCCTTTTGTGTCCTCTCTCCCCTCCCTCCCCCCCCCCACTTACATCTGGGAGATGTTCGCCATTAGGAAAAATAGAAGGAAAATAGGCGCTATCCTTCTGCTATTCCCGTTCGTCTTCTCTAACTTCCTTGTCTCTGAGTGGATCCAACAGTTACCCAAGACGGTCAAACTTGCCAGCTAGACCGAGTCTCGGTCTCCACGGAAACGAGACGCCGAACTACGGAGCGCGGAGGGGGCGGAATGGGGGCCCAATTTCCCCCAGGCAGAATGTAGCCTAGCGCGCCCCCATTCTCAGCCTTGCTTTCAAATGTCCTTTAGTTTGTCCTCACCAAGATCCTGAAGTATTGTATTTCTCCCTGAAACAATTTCTCCCTTGAGTAGCCTCCAGTCTGCTTTTCAGCCTCCCTTAAAGTTTCCTCTTCTCCCAAGGGTGTGTGTGTGTGTGTGTGTGTGTGTGTGTGCCTCAGATCTCAGCCTCCTGAATAACTAGTTCAGGCCTGACTCCTCTTTTTCTTTTTTTTTTTGTCGTTCCTGGGGCTTGAACTCTGGGCCTGGGCGCTGTCCCTCAGCTCTTCAGCTCAAGGTGAGCGCTCTACCACTTGAGCCACAGCGCCACTTCCGGTTTTCTGGTGGTTTATTGGAGATAGGAGTCTCACGGTCTCTCCTGCCCGGGCTGGCTTTGAACAGTGATCCTCAGATCTCAGCCTCCTGAATAGCTAGTTGTGTGTGTGTGTGTGTGCGTGTGTGTGCCTCAGATCTCAGCCTCCTGAGTAGGTAGGATTACAGGCGTGAGCTACCAGCGCCCGGCTACCCTCCTCTTTTTCTTGGTCTGATCTTTCTCCATTCATGCTCCCTTCCAGCCTCATGGTTTGAGATGCCATCTGTGACGACCTGCCACCCAGACTCATATCTGTAGGTCGGACCACTTTCTTCAGTTCCAGCCACATACACCCCAGCTGGCTACTGAAACATTTCCACTTAGGTGCCCAATAGGCAACTCAGTATCATGCTTTGTCCTCATAAACAATCTTCTCCCATTCAAAATGGAAGTTCTCTTCTTGGAGTCATCCTTAAACCCACTGGTCCTCCCACACAGATCTAGCCACAGCTCCTGACTGCACACCTCCACAGTGTACAGTATCACCACCGTCCTACTCCCCCCCCCCACACACACACCTCCACTGCTCTCCAGACACAATAGGTTTGTTAGATGGAGAGGTTTTTTTTTCTTTTTTGGGTCCGGTCGTGGGGCCTGAACTCTGGGCCTGGGCACTGTCCCTCAGCTCTTCAGCTCAAGGCTATAGCGCTCTACCACTTGAGCCACAGCGCCACTTCCAGCTCTTTTCTTTTTGCGTATGTGGTGCTGAGGAATCGAACCCAGGGCCTCATGCATGCAAGGCAAGCACTCTACCACTGAGCCACCTTCCCAGCCCCAGATGGAGAGGTTTTTAAAGTGCATTCTCATTTCAAAAACAATTGGAAGGGAGCAAAAAAAGTTTAAATCATCTAAACTTCAATAGGGGGATGTTACTATAAAATACTAGGACAAAACTCCTGACTTTATATATCTTTTAAAAAGCATAGGACCAGATGCCAGTGGCTCACATCTGTAATCTTAGCTACTTAGGAGGTTAAGATCTGAGGATCACGGTTCAAAGCCAGCCTAGGCAGGAAAGTCTGTGAGACTCTGATTTCCAGTTAACCACCAGAAAATCTGAAGTGGTGCTGTGGCTGAAAGGTATAGAGGACTAGCCTTGATCAAAAGAACTCAGAGATAGCCAGGCAGGTGGCTCATACCTGTATTCTAGCTACTCAGGATGTTGAGATTTGAGGATTGTGGTTCAAAGCCTCCCCATGAGACTCTTATCTACAATTAACCAAAACCCAGAGGTGGCACTATGACTCAAGTGGTAGAGTTCTAGCCTTGAGCACAAAGAGGCTCAGGGATAGCACCCAGGCTCTGAGTTGAAGCCCTACAACAACAACAACAAAAAAAGCTCAGCACCAAGTTCAAGCCCCACAACTGACAAAAATAAATTAATAAAATGACAAAAAGTATAGGAAGCCGGGCGCTGGTGGTTCACACTTATAATCCTAGCTACTCAGAAGGCTGAGATCTAAGGATTTAGGTTCAAAGCTACCCTTGGCAGGAAAATCCAGACCACCTTTATCTTTAATTAACTACCAAAAAGCTGGAAGTGGAGCTGTGGCTCAAGTGGCAGAGCACTAGCCTTGATCAAAGAAAGCTCAGGGACAACATCCAGGCCCTAAGTTCAAGCCACAGGACCAACATCAAAAAGCAAAACAAAACAAAAAACAGGGGCTGGGAAGTTGGCTCAGTGGTAGAGTGCTTGCCTCGCATGCATGAGGCCCTGGGTTCGATTCCTCAGCACCACATAAGCAGAAAAAAAAAACAGGGGCTGGGAAGTTGGCTCAGTGGTAGAGTGCTTGCCTCGCATGCATGAGGCCCTGGGTTCGATTCCTCAGCACCACATAAGCAGAAGAAAAAAAAAGCCAAAGTGGTGCTATGGGTCAAGTGGTAGGACACTAGACTTGAGCTGAAGAGCTAAAGAATAGGCCCAGACCCAGAGTTCAGGCCCCATGACCAACCAAAAAAAGCCAAAACAAAACAAAAAAAAATGTACGATGGGGAACACCCATTATCCCAACAACTCAGGTGGCAGAAACAGAAGGATCATGGTTCAAAGCCAAGACTCTTTCTCAAAAGCAAGTTAGGAGCTGGGCACCATGACTCATGCCTATAATCCTAGCTCCTCAGAAGGCTGCAATCTAAAGGATCTGAGGATCTTGGTTTGGAGCTAGACTCAGCAGGCAAATATCTGAGACTTTATCTCCAATTAACCAGCAATAAGGCAGATGTGGAGGCATGGCTCAAGTGGTAGAGCACCAACCTTGAAGGAAAAAGTCTAGCAAGAGTACAAGGCCCTGAGTTTAAGATGTAACACCAGCATGCACACGCACACACACACATATACACACACCACACACCATCATACACCACACACACAGCGGGAACTGGGTGCCTGTGGCTTATACCTGTAATTGTAATTATTCAGAAAAGCTGAAATCTGAGGAGTGCAGTTCAAAGCCAACCCAGGCAAGTTCATGAGACAGTTATCTCCAATTAACTACCAAAATGGAAATGTAGCTGTGGTTCAAGTGGTAGAGTACTTGCCTTGAGAGAAACAAAACAATACAAAGGGACAACACCCAGATCTCAAGTTCATGCCCAAGACCAGCAAGCAAGCAAGCAAGCAAGCAGCAAGCAGGCAGGGAGGCAGGCAAAGAGAGAGAGAGAGAGAGAGAGAGATAGGAGAGAAAAAAGAGAGAGGAAGGGAGGGAGGGAAGGAAGGAAGGAAGGAAGGAAGGAAGGAAGGAAGGAAGGAAGGAGGGAAGGAAGGAAAAAAGAAAAGCAAGCCGGTGACTCATGCTTGCAATCCTAGCTACTCAGGAGGCTGAGATTTGAGAATCATAACTCAGAGCCAGCTTGGGTAGGAAAGTCCCCCAGACCCTTATCTCCAATTAACCACCAGAAAACCGGAAGTGGTGCTGCAGCTCAAGTGGTAGAGAGTTAGCCTTGAGCTGAAGAGCTGAAGGACAGCACCCATGCCCAGAGTTCAAGCCCCAGGACCGACAAAAAAAAAAAAAGGAAGGAGAGCTGGGAAGATTAAGCCAGGCTGGTGTACTGGGTAAACTGAGTCAGGAAGACAAAGTTTGAGATCAACTTAGTAAGACCCTGTCTCAAAGAACACATTCAAAGTTACTAGAAGAATGTGGTGTTAAACCCATTCACTCAATCACGGGAATCTAACCACGAGGGTGTACCCATTGTTAACTGGTGCTGGCTATGCCCTGCACTGTGTGGTTCTGAGTGGTTAACAAGTTCCTGTGGCATCTGTGCAAATAACTCGCCTTCACAGTGTCAGAAGCAAAGTGCATGAAGCAGAAAAGCTTCCTAACGTGGGCGCCTGTCTATTAACTCCACAGGATTTAACCAGTCTCCAAACTCCTGCGTTTTTTCTTTCTTGTGTGTATGGGAGGGGGGCAGGAAGAGAAGATTTATTGGAAGAGAAGATTCCAGGGATAAAACCAGCAACCTGCTGGTTTATATTCATTTTCATGATGAATACCATACAGCTGGGTTGTTTTTGTTTTCCCATTTGGGCTGATACTGGGATTTAGGACCTCTCATGCTGCTGTTACTCTTCCCCTCCACCCAAGGTTGGAGCTCTACCGCTTGAGAAAAACCTCTTATCACTTCCAGCTTTTTTTTGGTCGGCCGTGGGGCTTGAACTCTGAGCCTTGGCGCTGTCCTCAGCTCTTCAGCTCAAGGCAAGTGGTCTACCACTTGAGCCACAGTGCCACTTCCGGTTTTCTAGTGGTTTTTTGGAGATAAGAGTTTCATGGACTTTCCTGCCCCGGCTGGCTTTTAACTGTGAACCAGATCTCAGCCTCCTGAGTAGCTAGGATTACAGGTGTGAGCCACCGGTGCTCGCATTTCCAGCTTTTTGCAGGTCAATTAGAGATTAAGAGTCTCACAGATTTGTCCACCCAGGATCTTCCTCAGATCTCAGCCTTCAGAGTGGTTAGGATTACTGGCATGACTCACCCGGGCCAGCTATAGAGTTTTCAAAACATCAACACGTTGCAAATGTAACTTATTTGGAAACTTATCAAAAAGCAGTGGACAAACCGGGCTCACGCCTGTAATCCTAGCTACTCAGGAGGCTGAGATTTGAGGATCGCGGTTCGAAGCCAGCCGGGGCAGTAAAATACTTGAGACTCTATCTCTAATTAGCCATCCAAAAAGCTGGAAGTGGAGCTGTGGCTCAAATGGTAGAGTGTTAGCCTGGAGGGGGGGGGGGAAGAAAAGTTCAGGGATAGCGCCCAGGCCCTGAGTTCAAGCTCCAGTTCAAGCACACACACACACACACACACACACGTGTAATGGACAGGTGTACTGAGACAGTAAAACTTTAATAATGAAATGTTTAAAAGGCAAAAAAAAAAAAAAGCACAACAATGGTAAACTGTCCGGTCCACTTTTCTGTCTGTCTGTCTTTGTTCCCATGCACCTGGCGCAGGGGCGGGGCGGGGGGCGCGGGGCGCGGGCGGAGGCCTTTGTGTGTGGGTTTAGGTAGAAAAGGCGCGGCGGAGACGGACGCCCACCGACCCCGACTCCTTCCAGCCCCGGCGGGGGGCGGGGGGGCTGCGTCCGCGGAGCACATCTTGGGGGGAGTGCGGAGGAAGGAAGCTGCACTGGCGGGCAGGACGGGGCGGCCGGCTACAGTCGGGACGCCGAGGGGAAAACGGCGTGGGGGGAGAAAAGGGGGAGGCGGG